CAGGTCTGCTTCCAGACATATCTTCTTAATAATTAACACTTAATATAAACTCACTAAACACAATCTAAGAGCCATTCCTTAACTTAGGCAATGAAGTAAGATGGAATGTAACAAGAAGCTTTAATATAAAAAAAAGTATTGTATAATATTATTATTTATAAAATCGACTCAAAATTAGTCTGCTTATAAACAAATGATAAGTTACCAGAATGGAGTACAGTTAGGTACCTTGATATAAGATATTTATCCAAAATAAATAGACCATCAGTAATCAATTAATAAATTGGGAATACATAGTCCTTTCTCAATGGCAACAAAAAGAATGTAGGAATAACTATAGTGACTGTACACAACCTATATTTCCCATTTCATGTTTTCTTCCTATCAGGTTTGTACTTTAACACGAGAAGATAACCGCTCATTGGGTGTTATTCCTCAAGATGAGCAGCTCCATGTGCTACCTCTTTATAAACTTTCAGACACAGATGAGTTTGGCTCAAGGGACGGAATGGATGCCAAGATCAAATCTGGGGCTATTGAGGTCCTCACACCCTGCCGCAAAAAAAGAACACGTTTCACTCAGCCTGTTCCTCGTTCTGGGAAAAAAAGGGCTGCAATGATGACAGAGGTTCTGGCACACAAGATAAGGGCAGTTGAGAAGAAACTCGTTCCTAGAATCAAGCGGAAGAATAACAGCACCACGACAACAAACAACACTAAGGCTTCCTCACTGCCACTCTTAGGTGAGTACTATGCAACCTGCTAATTTTCTCTCTACAACTTTCATTGAAGAAGGAGTTTGGACTTTCCCTTTCATGTTACTTTCCCTCTCCTTTATCTTAGTTATTGTCCTAGTGATGAGACATTATGAAAAGAGAAATTTTAGAGCAAATGTTAACTCATTGTTCTTGAGTCTAATTTGTCATTATTATTATAGTTTGTTAGGAGTTAAAACTCGGATACTGAATATATTTCTACATATGTGCCCAAACTAAAAGTCAACAAAAAAGTGACCTGTTAGTATTTCTTGGTAATTTTTTCTACTTACCCTTTTTTATATTTTAACATTCTTATCGTTGTTCCTGTGACTTTCCCATATAATTTGAAGCCCTACTCATTTTTCTTGGTATAGATGAATGACATGACTTCCTAGAAGCCTTCCTTGATCAGCTTTAGCATCAATTTGGTTTTTTTTGTTTTGTTTTGGTTTTTTTTTGTAATCCAGTCAACAGATATTACTAAACATCACTTTGAAGCCTTTTGATTTTTTTTTTTTTTTAGTGTCTTATGAAAACTGTCAATGAACTTCTTTAAACTGCTTTAGGTGTTAGAAAAGTTCTAGTGAAAGAGAAGGCAGATAATGCTATAAGAGATTTTTCTACTTAAATATGACTGCTAAAAAATGGATTCACTGCGAATATGGCATTTGAATAAAGTCCTAAAGGAAATGAGAGGGTCAGCAACGTCAGTATTTGGAAAATAATCTTCTAGGCAGAGGAAATGGCAAGTACACAGGTTCAGAGGCAGGACTTTACCTTGACTGTTTGAGGTGTGTAAAGAGGCCGGTGTGACTGGAGCAGAGTGTGAAATGAGCAGAACAGGAACAGATAAGATCAGAGTTATAAGAGGGGTGTGTGTGCAACTCAGCCCACGCATTGTAGACTTCTGTAAAGATGTTGCCCTTCATTGTGAGTAAGGAGAAGGTTACTGCAGATTTCAGAATAAAGCAGGGCCATGATCTGACTCAAACGTAACCCTCTGGTTAGTGGGTTGAAACTATAATAAAAGGAGGCAGAGGACAAAAAAGTAGGGAGATCACAGAGACTATCCTAACGATTCAGGAGAGAGAGGATGGAGAATGGACCAGTGTGGCTAATGAGGAGGACAGGAGAAATGTCTTGATTCTGATGATGTTTTGAAGGCAGAGTCAACAGGATTTGATAGATTAAACATAGAGTATAAGACAAAAAGAAGTGTCAAGGGTTAAGAGGCCTGAGGGAACTGGAAGGATGCAGTCAGCAAGAGGAATGGGGAGGGAAGAACAGGTTCGGAAAGATAGATGGTGGGAGATCCGAAGCTCACTTTTGGACATATCAATTTCAAGAACTTGTCAGGCATTCCAATGGTTGTATTAGGTAGGCAGAGAAGAAGTTCAGGCAGGTCAGCAGCATACAGAGAGTATGAAAGTCAAGAATCTGAAAGAAGGATAAAAGGAATTCAAGAACAAAACCTGGGAATTCTCAACTTTTAGAGGATTCAGAGATGAGAAGGAAACGGCATGGAAAATTTAGAAAGTCTGGTGAGATAAGAGTGAAACCAGGGCCGGGCGCAGTGGCTCACGCCTGTAATCCTAGCTCTTTGGGAGGCCGAGGCGGGCGGATTGTCTGAGCTCAGGAGTTCGAGACCAGCCTGAGCAAGAGCGAGACCCCGCCTCTACTAAAATTAGAAAGAAATTAATCGGCCAACTAAAAATATATAGAAAAAATTAGCCGGGCATGGTGGCGCATGCCTGTAGTCCCAGATACTCGGGAGGCTGGGGCAGTAGGATCACTTGAGCCCAGGAGTTTGAGGTTGCTGTGAGCTAGGCTGATGCCATGGCACTCACTCTAGCCAGGGCAACAGAGTGAGACTCTGTCTCAAAAAAAGAAAGAGTGAAACCAAAGACTAGTATTTTAAGGAAGGAAGGACCGACTTGTCAAATGCTCCTCCTTTGTCCAGTGATGTGAAGACTAAAATTTCCCCATTCAGTGCAAAGGCTATTAGAGGCCCTGCAAGAGCAGATGCAGTAGAATGGTGGAATAGAGAACGATGGGCCGGGCGCGGTGGCTCACGCCTGTAATCCTAGCACTCTGGGAGGCCGAGGCGGGAGGAACGTTTGAGCTCAGGAGTTCGAGACCAGCCTGAGCAAGAGCGAGACCCTGTCTCTACTATAAATAGAAAGAAATTAGCCAAACAACTAAAAATAAAAAAATTAGCCGGGCATGGTGGCACATGCCTGTAATCCCAGCTACCCAGGAGGCTGAGGCAGGAGGATCGCTTGACCCCAGGAGTTTGAGGTTGCTGTGAGCTAGGTTGACACCACGGCACTCTAGCCCTGGTAACAGAGTGAGACTCTGTCTCAAAAAAAAAAGAGAGAGAGAATGGATAAAAGTGGATTTGTGAGGAAATGGAAGAGGAACCAGAGGAATTCTTTTGGTTGGCTACGAAGGTGATCAGTGGAATGCCGTGAAGGTTATGAAGTTGAGAGGAGTTTTTTTAACAAAAATGTTAAGAAATGTACAAAGAAGGCCGGGCGCAGTGGCTTATTCCTCTAATCCTAGCACTTCAGGGAGGCCTAGGCAGGAGGATCACTTGTGGCCAGGAGTTCAAGACCAACCTGAATTCCAAGATCAAGAAAGAAAAGAAAAAAAAAGACCAGCTTCAGCAAAAGCAAGACCCTGTCTCTGCAAAAAATAGAAAAATTTGCTGGGTGTGGTGGTGCACGCCTATAGCTCTGGCTACTTGGGGGACTGAGGCAGGAGAATAGTTGAGCCCAGGAGTTGGAGGTTGCATTAAGTTATGATGATTCCACTGCATTCTAGCCTGGGCAACAGGTCAAGACTCTGTGTTACATAAATAAATAAAAAAGAAGAAAAGAAAGAAAGAGAGAGAGAGAGAGAGAAAGAAAAGAGAAGAAAAATGTTCAACTTGTTCCGTCTTTGGTCTATAGGAACCTCTTCAGCTAGTTTCTGAGTTCTTTTGTCACAATCCCAGTTGTCTTCGATGGCTTTCTTTGCTTCTGTAACAAGATGTGCCAGGTTCATCGTAAAGAGTTCTGCCCTATATCTAAAATCAGCCATTTCTCTAAGGAGCTACAGAAAAAAATACATCCTGGACTTACACTGATATTCAAACTTAGAATTACAGGATATTCCTTAGCTTCTTTTATTGTTACATTGATAAGAGAGGTTGTTTGTTTTTGTCAGATGAGAGAAATGACAGTACAGGCATTTATATAATGCTGGAAAGGATTCAATACAGAGAAATACTAAAGAGGCAAAGTGGGGAGAATTATTATTCCTTCTTCCTTGTAGCTCCATTTTACATGTATTTAATTTAGGTTTATTTTATGATTCACATATGTGGTTCTATGTTGCTTATAAAGAGCAACCATATCATTTTCATCTTGTGTCATTCTCCAATAGGATGCTGGTTAAAATGCGAATCATTTTTGGATGTCATCTTTTCGCTATTTTCTTACAGTGTATTTCCTGATATTAATGGCCATAAGTCCAATGGCCAACAACCTTCTGTTCCTTTGTAATTCTACGCATCCCTATTTTTATTCTTTCCTTCCTATTATTTACTTTCTATTGACAACCTGTATAATAAATAATAGAGACCACCATAGATAATAGCACAGGTTTCCTGATGTGTCTGTCATTGCTTGGGTTTGAAGTAATGAGAAGTGTCATGTCTCCAGGTTGTATCATCTGAGAGGAGAACTGCAGATCTTTGAAATTAGTCAATGTTACTATTATTATATTAGTTATTTTAAAATATGGCTACTTTACTTTTCCTTTTCTTGGTCTTAAAATTTGCTGCTTGTGCGCTTCCAATGATTTTTTTAAGGACAGAAAGAATGTCCTCAAGAAAAATGTTTCCATTTGATAGGAGGTTTGTGTGGATCTGAGCAAATAACTCACACTTGCCTGTATGATAATAATTATCTACCTAATTAGTGAGAAAGAAATGAAGCTGAAATGCTCTTGCTGTTGAGGGTCACAGAGTTTTATTTCAACTAAAAATTTTTTGTATGACTTCCCTCTGCCTAATAATCGACTTTGCCAATTATGATGCTTTTGTCCCAGAAATATTTATAAACTATTACTTATTTTTACTTTTTGGAAAATGAAGTCATGCAATGCTTAAAATATATATAAACATCTCTTTAAATAGTTAAATATTGTTCTGTGTCATCATATTACGGTACCTGCACAATATCCCAATGTACAGTTGTATTTTTTACTTCGTAGCCAATTAGGTCATTTCTAATATTTTACTGTTTTAAACAACAAATATCCATTCTTTTGGCTGAATCTTTGCACTTACTTATGATTACGTGCCAAGGGAAGAATTCTTCAAGGAAATTTGTTGGGTGAAAAAGCATACCAAACTACATATAATATTTAATTCTGTGTGCATTTGAGTTATGATTACCAACAAATAGAACAAAACTGGCCAACATCAATGTTTTATTGTAGTCTCTGTACTTCTCTTATAAAAATACCTTTTAAAGACAACAGCTACCAAAAAAAGTTTGTATTTATCTTCACATTTGGTGTCCTTTTCTCTGTTTAGGGAATAAAACTGAGACGGTGCAACCTGAAATAAAAAGTGAAACGGAACCCCATTTTATCTTTAAAGTTTCAGAAAACACTAAAACCTGTTCCCTGATGCCATCCACTCCTCACCTGGCAAAGGAGGCAAACCTATCTCCAGGTTTCTCCTGCTCCCCGAAGACTGCTCCAGCCACCACAGCTCCATTGAAGAGTGATGCAGCAGCCTCGCAGGGGTTTTCAGAAGGAAATAGCATACCCCACTGCACAACGCCTTATGGAAGCCACAGCGGTGCCAATGCAACTGCTGGGGAATGCACTGGAATTGCACAGCCTGGTGAAGTGGCTCCTCTTCCCGCCCTATCTACACCTGTGACAGATTCCTTGGTGTATTCTGAGCCTCCCACTGGTCCACCTGAGCAGCTAACTTCTAATCAGCCAAACCAGCAGCCCCCATTCCTCACCTTCCCTCATGAACTTGCTTCCTCTCTGCTAGAAGAAGATGAGCAGCATTCTGACGCAGATGAGCCCCTATCAGATGAGCCCCTCTCTGATGACCTCCTGTCGCCTGCTGAAGAGAAATTGCCCCACATTGATGAGTATTGGTCAGACAGCGAGCACATCTTCTTGGATGCCAATATTGGCGGGGTGGCAATAGCGCCTGCACACGGCTCGGTTTTAATTGAGTGTGCCCGGCGGGAGCTTCATGCTACGACTCCTGTTGAGCACCCAAACCGTAATCATCCTACTCGCCTCTCCCTTGTTTTTTACCAGCACAAAAACCTGAATAAGCCCCAACATGGTTTTGAACTAAACAAGATTAAGTTTGAGGCTAAAGAAGCTAAGAATAAGAAGATGAAAGCCTCAGAGCAAAAACACCAGGCAGCTAATGAGGGTCCTGAACTGTCCTCTGAAGTAAATGAATTGAACCAAATTCCTTCTCATAAAGCATTAACATTAACCCATGACAATGTCGTCACCGTGTCCCCTTATGCTCTCACACATGTTGCAGGGCCCTATAACCATTGGGTCTGAAGGCTTTTCTCCCCTTCTTAATGCCTTTGGTAGTGCAGTGTATTTTTTCAAGGTGCTGTTAAAAGAAAGTCATGTTGTGGTTTACTATATCTTCATCTCACCCATTTCAAGTCTGAGGTAAAAAAAAAATGGGGTGGGTACTCTTAACTGTGACTATATTTGACAATTGGTAGAAGGTGCACATTTTAAGCAAAAATAAATGTTTTATAGTTTTAAATACATAAAAGAAATGTTTTGGTTAGGTGTTAACCTTGATAGAATCACTCAGTTTGGTGCTTTAAATTAAGTCTGTTTACTATGAAACAAGAGTCATTTTTAGAGGATTTTAACAGGTTCACGTTCTATGATGTAAAATCGAGATAAACAGTGTTAACTCTACACAGCTCCTGGTGCTTAACCACATCGACACAGTTAAAAATAAGCTGAATTATTATTTCATGGTGCCATTGTTCCAACATCTTCCAATCATTGCTAGAAAATCGGCATATTCCTTTGAAATAAATGTATGAAATGTTTTCTCTCTTAAAATATTTCTCCTGTATAAAATAACTCATTATTGTTAGTAATGGTTGGAGGCTGTTCATAAATTGTAAATATATATTTTAAAAGCACTTTCTATTTTTAAAAGTAACTTGAAATAATAGAGTATAAGAATCCTATTGTCTATTGTTTGTGCATATTTGCATACAAGAGAAATCATTTATCCTTGCTGTGTAGAGTTCCATCTTGTTAACTGCAGTATGTATTCCAATCATATACATGGTTTGTGTCCTTTCACATTCAAATATTAGCAACTTACAGTATATAAAATAGTTAGCTAATGCAAAAATTGTAAATTATGTCTAAAATTGGGATTAGGAAACGTATCACCAATATTGATTAATATTTTCTTCAAAACTAAGTAAGGGGGGGGTCTCTTCTGGCTTATTGAGCAACAATGGCCTCAATTTACTTTCATCCCAGCTTTCTCAGTATGACCCATGAAAGGTGTTTACAAAAGGAGATGATGGAACAGAATAGGTTTAAGAAGAATCAAATGCTTCTAATGTTTCAAGGTGATAAAATGTAAAAATTAAGTAGCCAGAACCTTACCCATCCCAAATTGCCTTATTTGTTCTGAAAGTCTGATATAGAATAAGAAAAAAATTCCTCTAGAAATCTTTTTAAAACAAATTTCCTATTATCATCACATATCCCCCACCCAGACTCCAGTTAAACAGTAGAAATGGCTTTGTCCATTAAGAGCTAATACATTAATTTATCTTATTATAGCATATTATATTTGGAAAAACCATGACTCATCTTCTCTGATAATTGCCTATGTTCTAGAGAACAGGAAAATAGACATTCTATTTATTTTAATTTGCCCATTATTTTTTCCCATTACTTTATTGACTCAATTAAAGTAAAACAAAAAGGATTACCCAAACAACATGTTTAGAACAAGAAGAACTTTCAGTGAAATACTTGATTCTGTTAAAATGCAGAGGTGCTATAACATTCAAAGTGTCAGATTCCTTGGGAGTATGGAAAACCTAATGGTGCTTCTCCCTTGGAAATGCCATAGGAACCCAACAACCGCTAACACTCACAATTTTGGTGCAAAAGCAAACAGTTCCAGCAAGCTCTCTAAAGAAAAACATGTTGTAACTTATTAATATAAAAAAAATCTATTGTGCAAAGTATCAGTTTCAAGCTTTTGACTAATCCAAGTAAAGGAATATGAAGGGATTGTAAATAACAAAATGTCCATTGATAGACCATCATCTTGTACAAGTAGATTTCTGCTTCTTGAATATGTAAAATAGGGTAATTCATTGATTTGTTTTAGTATTTTGTGTGCCTTAGATTTCCGTTTTAAAACATGTATATTTTTGTGAGCCTAAGGTTTCTTATACATATAAGTATATAAATAAGTGATCGTTTATTGCTTCAGCTACTTCGATAAGATATTTACTAGTATTAGACTATCAGGAATACACCCTTGTGATATTATGTTTTAGATTTTAGGCCTTAGCTCCCACTAGAAATTATTTCCTCACCAGATTTAATGGATAAAGTCTTATGGCCCTTTATCCATCCACCCATCTGTTCATTCTTCCAGTCTACACTTACTGAATACCTGAAAATTTTAAGTATCACTTTTGTTTTTCTTTGCATTTTTTATTTTTTCTTTTTGGTTTTATTTTGTTTTGTTTTTAAAGGCTAGTCAAGTAAAACAGTGGGAGTGGGGAATGAATAAAGAAATCTATAACTGTTTACGATCAAAGAGTTATAAACACCACTGCACTCGAACCAGCCACTTTTGTTTCTCTTTGAATCACCACCTGTGATATAGTGAACTTGAAGAATTAAAATTCTAAAAGATACCCTTACAAACATTTTTAAAAGAAATAGCAAATTACCTTCAAAACAATCCGTGGTAATATATCTGCCATAATTCAAATAAATTTGTCTCTAACATTAAAGAAGTTTCTCAATCTAAACTTTAAACACCAATGTTAATTTTGGGGACTTTTGGGATTTGTGAAACTTGTTGCAGCTTGCCAAAACAAGTATATGAAAATATCTAATCTCAACTAAAATGTTTCCATTCCATTGTTGTAATTAACATCATGAATGGACTGCCTAAACTGATTATCCCTTTGTGGGAACCACATTGGATTCCTACTTTGTTGGACTATATTTCCTAATTTTAACAGTTTACCATCCCATTCTCTGATTTTAAAACAGCTTATGCTTCTTCAATGTTCTGCCACATTGTGATTGTATGCTGGCTACATTGCTTTTAGAATGCTCTTTCTCATTGAAACAAGGAAATAAATTTGTTTGAAATGACAATTTCACTCATAAAACTGGTCATCTAACATTATTTCTTCCCCTCTATTTTGTTTTACTGTGATAATCACCTTTTCTTATATCTCTTGCCTAGCATTCAGATTGGGTTTTAAATCTTCTGCCTTTGTCCATGGTATGATCATTGAATTCATTGATTCATGACCTCCAAGGTAGCCCATCCAGTTCATAAAATGCTACAAACTTACCGACTATAATGAGAGAATAACTCCTGACTATTATAGAATCCTACAAAATCCCATGCTGCCCCTAGAAATTCCATTTCTAATGGCTCTTAGGCCATTGTTGAAATTTTTTTCTTGTATTTGTCAGCTTCACCTACAGCTTCTTTCCAATTCATCCACAAAGTACCAAATGTACCATGTCATAAACATAATTGAAATATATTATTGAAAAGTGAAGCTGTCTGAAAATGTATAGCTGTAGGTAAATTAAATTGCAACATGTTTATCTCTTATATAACTTTCCGACATCTTTGTTATTCAATCTGCATGTGGATGAAATTTTTTTAAATATAGAACGTCAACTAGGTGAAATCCATAAGCAACTTACTTAAGACATAACCCCAGTACATACTTAATTGAATGCATACCCTTGTGTAAATGAGCTACTGTCTTCATTTACACGAAGTAACCTACTTTCTAACATTACTCCAGTGGACTCCTACTGATTATCATTTCACAATAGCATGTATGAAAATGACCCTAAACTACTCTTTTTAAAACAAAAATTATATTGGCTTTTTATCTGAGAAAAAATTATGACATTATTGCATGACAACTTCCACCAACAGTGGGCACAGCATTTAGTTTGCATGTGCCAGCTAAATCAGTAGCTGTATGCAACCTTTAATATACAGTTAAACCTTCAATTTCACACCTTAATGCATGGAAATCTTTTTTTGTCTCAATCTAATACAATGGTGAGTTTTGATCTTTTGTAGAAATTTATGACAAAAGAACTGTGAAATAAGGTAATATGGTAGTGGCCTCTCACAGTGGTGAAAGCCACCTTAGAAGTCTCATAGCTCAATAACTGGGCTCCATAGAGCAGATGTTAATGTCAGTTTGTAATTATGATTAAAAATTAGACTTTAAACAGATGAAGGACACTTTGTGTTTAGGAGAACTGAAGGAAAATTTGATTCTCTCACTCAGAGGGTATTTTATCACTGGGAAAAAACAAATATCAAATGTTTATACAGTATAAGCTTTCAATTCCCCTGGAACTTGTATTAAGCATGTATAAGGAGTTATAAAGATTGGATTTTTGAAGCAATTAAAGAAAGCATATTTCCACTGTATATACTATCTAGCCATGATTGTACAGTCCATTCACGCCCCTTACCTAGATGGCCTCACAAGAAGTCCCCGCATAGTTTATTTTGATGTGGTTGTCTACATGTATTGGAATACTGTTTTATTGTGCATAGCTCCTAAACTTCCCCATAAGTGTGCTGAACTCGTAATTGTAACACCAGCTGTATGACACACTTAGCTGAGTGATGTAATCAGTACCTGATTGCTGAAGGGGTCTGGATTTATCCAAATTAAATTGTGCTCCATGTTGAGCTTTCTGCTAACAGCTTTGGAAAATGATGTCATCCATGGCTCTGGAATGCAATTCAGAAAGTCAAAATCAGTATGTCCTTCATCAGAAGCAAAATGTGTGTATTTTTGAATGTATTCAGATTCATTGGCATGTTTTTGCTTCTCTTATGTGTGTAAAATAGAAAGTGAATTCCTCTGCTAATTTCTGAAACTTTAGAGCTGGCTTTTCTGCAGGACATCGCTATTTTTGTCCTGGTTGAACTCTACGAACTTGTATTCTCTGCCTTCCAGTATCTGGATGACTTTATTTTGATCCCTGTTTCTTTTGGGCTCCTGATCAAATACCACTGTTTGCTTCAAAAGGCATATATTTTATTCCCTCGAGCAATCCAAAGGTATTCCTTATTTTGCCATGCTTCATTTTCACTTTATTTTTAAGGGCTAGATGTGTTTGAATTTCTCTTTTGGTAATACGCAATATTTAATATTTTTTCCATAATATTTAATGTTTTTATCTCTAAAATTCCATCATTAATCTTTACCTTGTTGGCTGTACTCCTTTCCCACCCTTACTGCAAAACCCTGATCCTGCCTGGGTCATAAGTTTTCTGGTTTGCTCAGCTGTACATGTCCCCTGTGTTAAAGCAAAACTTCGTCTGAGGTAGGAATATTATTATCAGGTATAAAACATTAGTTCATGTAACCCATTTATATTTAGTACAACTTTGAAAACACTTGGTTAACAATATA